CTAAACTAACCTAACCTCGTATACTAAATGATAAAAGAGTCAGCTGTTTGATACACGTGTTTAAAGATGGATGTTACATGGTAGTGCCGTGTGTCTGCCTGGTTGTGGTGTCCATGTGGTGTTTCAGTTTATTCTGTTATGTCCAGAAGCCTGTTCGGGTGTCCCTACTGTGTCATGAAGACCTTTTATAATGGTCTTTTTGTGTCTTGTATATTTTTTTCAGCAATCTCAAGACTTTTTCAACTAATTTCATTTATTTTTTAACTAATTTTATGACTTTTGAACAGCTAAAATTTCCATAATAATATCAATATATTTTTTTTTATTTGCTAATCATTCATAATAATTCCATATTTTTAGTAACGAGTCTTGTGTATAATTAAAGCTTTCTTATCTCCTCCTGGTGTGTGTGTGTGTGTGTGTGTGTGTGTGTGTGTGTGTGTGTGTGTGTGTGTGTGTGTGTGTGTACAGGTGGCGGCGAGAGACAGAGACAAGCAGGACCAGGGAGCGCTTCTCTACACGCTGAGCGGCGACGGTGTGGACGGCATCACCCCAGCCGACGCCTTCTTCACCATCAACCCCCGCACAGGAGAGCTCATCCAACTGAGGGTGAGTGAGGGAGAGAGGTAGAGTTGCTCCAGCTGAGGTTGATAAAGAAGGAGTAAGTTTATCCCCATTAACTCCTTACGTGGTTCAGTGACGTAGCTCAATACAGGTGTTACGTGGGCAGGTTAATTAAGGGATTCTAACCGTGGGGTCTTCACTACTGTAAGAAACTCTAATACTATACCGCCAGCCACTGCTTTGGTATATATATATAATGTAAATATATAAGATGGCAGTGGCAGACATCTTGGTGGGAAGGGAGGGGGCTGGTGACACTTCCTGGAGAGACGGGTGGACGTGTGGCCCTTCTGAGGACAAAACTTTCCTTTATGGTGTGCGTGAGTGTATGAACCGGTTGGGGTGTTGCAGGTCTGGATTCTTAACATATAAATCCTGAGTTTGTTTCTCAAAAGCATATCGTGTGTGTGTTTGGTGTAGGTGAGTGTTAGGCCAAGTGGGGTGTTGCAGGTCTTGATCCTTAACTATAAACTTTGAGTAAAAACCAAGTTGTTTTATGTGTGTTGCAGGCGCTGGACCGTGACCCACCCCGGGGGAGGGAGGTGTGGAAGGTGCGGGTACAGGTGAGGGACGCCCAGGCTCAGCGGGTGCCTCAGGAGGATGACATTCTCCTCTACCCTGGACTCTCTGACCTACATAACCCTCTCCCACACGCCAGAGTCCTGAGGGATGCTGAAGGACCCAGTATTAACGACAGAGGTGCAAGCAGAAGACAGCGTGATGGTGTTCAAGAAAGGAGACCCAACAGAGGTGCCACTGATGGGAAGAAGGGGAGATGGGAAGGTGCAGCCAGAGATAACACCGCGGGTAAACACAATGAACAACACAACATTACCAAACATGGACGAGTAAGAAGTCCTGAGGAAAAGGAGAGAAGGAAAAACACAGCCACACAAAAGACAAGACAATATAAAAGGAAAAACAATATATTGGATAACAGTCGGACACAGTCTCAGAGCCAAGAGCATGAAACTCTCAGTAGCTACTCCAGGTTGTCTGAAGAAGGAGGAGGAGGAGGAGGAGGATCGGTGTCCGGGAGCCTCACCCCGCAGGGACACCAACTGAAGGAGTCTCGTGTTATAATTCAGTCAGGACACTCGGCGGGTGTTGCTGGGTGTCAAAACATTTGTCCTCAAATACACAAAACACCTACAGCTTATCTAAACAAGGGAGTGAAGAGCGACGAGCGAGTGATGGAGAGAGAAGTGGGTGAGGTCGGGGGTCGTCACTATCCGAAGGTGGCAGCAACGAATCTGGACGGAACTTTAGTTAACAGGATACAACCGTCAGACGAAGAGGAACACGAGGTAACTACTTATCATAACATTAATACCGAACTTAGGATAACCGAAGTGAGAGACAGACTGAGTGAAGACTATCCTGATGACCCGGGAGAGAGGACCGACAAACAGCTGACGCGGGAACACCTGAGTGAGAGAGCAGATAAGGACGCAAGGTCCACATCAACAAGAGTGCAGGAGAGAGGTCTTCTAGTTATAGGCAGAGATAAACGGAACTTGTTGAACAAAAGACAAGAACACCACAGTAGATCAAGAGGTATGTTCCTCTCTGTGGTGAACAAAACTAACCCCAGCACACCTCCACCTGACCTCACCTCTACCACACCTACATCTAACCACAACTTCTCCAACACTTCTATAAGTTTTTCCTCACAATTCAACGAAATCAGAGGAAGGAAACTCAGCGCCACAGATAAAAGACTTAAGAGAATACCAACGAAATCCTCAAATGTAAAATCAACACCAGGAGAAGATGCAGTTGATTATGCGGGAAGAACTATGGAGTCATTCCCAACTTCCGCCATTAATAACCTCAAACTTGGAACCAAAATGGAGCCAGAATATTCTTGGCTTTCATATCAGGGAGAAAAATACTCTACTTCATTCCAGAGTTTGACTGATGTAACAGGCTGGGAGACGGACCTGTCTTCATCTGCATTAGAAAAGTTTGAACACAGGAATCAAATGAAAGTCAAACAGAAGGAAAACGATCATAAAACACCTCAGAGGAGATATCAGGGACTTATCCTCACCTCCTCACCAACGATGAATAAACCACTGGCTCTCAAGGTACACAACCAAGCGGGACTCACAACACAGACAAACGGACACATTCCTAAGATGACAAATAATATGCTGAGATTAAAAACTGACCCGAGCAACGAAAACTCACAGATAAATCACAAGATGGATGATGAAGACTCTAGCAACAGGTCAGGGAAGGTCATCACCAGAGGGGTAATTAATGCTTTCTCTAAGTCTCCCACCGGGGGTCAAATGTTAACTCATAACTACCCATACACGTCGTCCCGGGGCACTAGAGCCGTCGCCTCGCCTCTCCACGACTATTTCGAGATGACGGATAACTTAGGGGAAGGTGGAGGCGGTGGTGGAGGGTGTGATGACGTGAGCGTGTTTGGTGGTGAACTACAGAACAGAAACATGACAGAAGTGGGCGGCGACGGTGATGTAACGTTACGAGGACGTGGGCGTTCTGGTGGGCGTGTAGGGCGTGTACATGTGGTGGAGACGGTGGTGACGGTGTTCGTGAAGGACATCAACGACAACCCTCCCGTCTTCCCCAACACCACCATGTTCGGCGAGGTACAGGAGAACGGCCCCATTGGTGAGTATAATAACCAGTGTGTTTTGTAAGTCTGCCCAAGTGTCTCTCCACATCTGTTTTCCCTGTGTTATTTTCACCACCACCTTCACCACCACCTTCACCACCACCTTCACCACCACCTTCACTCTGATGGAACTAGAGACATAAACAAGAGGACGTATCATGACACCACCACCAAGGTAGGTTTTCCTTTATATAACATCAAATACATACGAGTGTACCCAGGGAGTGAGTTGGGTGGGTCTGGCCTCACTTAACCACACACAGGTTGAGGTAGGACAGTGATCGCTTTTGTTATGGTCTGGTGGTGATATGGTAATATTGCTACTGCTGTGTGTGTGTGTGTGTGTGTGTGTGTGTGTGTGTGTGTGTGTGTGTGTGTGTGTGTGTGTGTGTGTGTGCGTGTGTGTGTGTGATAGCCCAGTTGATGTTGTTATGAAGAGCGTGGGTCAGAGGCAGCAATCTCGTATGGTACCTATGTGAGCTCCCACGACACGCCTGAAGAGCTCCGGTTTAATCCTATTTTAGCCTTAGAGAGTTTCGGTTGAGTCCTAGAGAGCTTCGGTTGAGTCCTAGAGAGCTTCGGAGTTAGAGTAGTCCTAGAGAGTTTCGGTTGAGAGAGCGGTTGAGTCCTAGAGAGCTTCGGTTGAGTCCTAGAGAGCTTCGGTTGAGTCCTAGAGAGTTTCGGTTGAGTCCTAGAGAGCTTCGGTTGAGTCCTAAAGAGCTTCGGTTGAGTCCTAGAGAGTTTCGGTTGAGTCCTAGAAAGCTGCGTCAGGATTAACCCAAAGCCGTCAGCAGCATCGCAAACGTCGGACAAGAAAGTGTCAGCCAGATGTCCCTCACCGCACCAAGGTCACACACACACACACACACACACACACACACACACACACACACACACACACACACACACACACACACACACATCGTCAATTAGACTAATGGTTACACCTGTCTAAAGGGAACATGTAGTAATGAAAAGCAGATTAATGTTTGTACGGTAACATATAGTGTAGTTTGCCTACATTACTTGATTACCTAATATGAGGAGTGTGAGGAGGAAGAGAAGCGGGGGTGGAAGTCACTTAGGTGTGTGTTGAGGAGTAAACGATAATTTTTTTTTATTATTCTCCTGTTTCATCTTCTTCTCCGTCTTTGTTGTTATATTATTATGTATCTTTATTAATGGTTCACTCTCTCTATATCTCTTATTTTATACTAGTAATTTTGCCTGGCCTCGCTCGTGTTAGGTGTATAACCCTGACTGCCCCAGTTCACCGTCCCTGACACGGGTCACCACCTCCCGCGGTAATATCTCAGTCGGGGAAGATGTTTGGTTCTTGCCTGGACCACCCGGGGCTCCGTGGTCAATAGTAATACCAAGGTACACAACCTCGGCACCCAGGTAATGTGTGGGTAAAGTTTTAGGTCTGTAACTGCTTCTGTTTTGGTGCTGTGGCCGGAACTGACAGACAGACACTCACGTCTTTATATTATTATTAACTTGCCATCATTAACTATCTTTTCTTCCTTCATAATCATCATCTTTTCCCTTCCTTACCATCCTCTCCCCCTTAGTTCCCAACCTCAACTACTAATACACACACACACACACACACACACACACACACACACACACACACACACACACACACACACACACACACACACACACACACACACAAACAGAGAAGCGGAGACCCAATATCTAAGAAAGAAATCCACTTTGAAAAACATTAAAAAAGAAGAGTTAATGACATCTTGAAATTCAATCTATCTGTTTGTACTGCAGCTTTACGTTCACATCAAACAGCCCGCGTCGTCAAGTCACTCAGCTCAGCGATAAAACCTCCACATCATAGAAGAAGAGAAAAGACTCCCAAATGATTCTCAGGTCCGTCGCAGGTAGTTGGTGATTCACTTCAATATCCCAAGGAAGAAAAAGATTAATCTCAGACACTTTTAAAGGCAGCAGACATACGCGGATTGCTGGGAGTAAGTACTGACTTCTTGATTTTCATTTCTCATTACAAAAAAATAAATAAAAAAAATGGATTTCAGTCAATAGGAAAAACACACATACATACACGACTTGACATACACACACACACACACACACACACACACACACACACACACACACACACAGGCAGGAAGACATACACAACAAACACCTCTCCTATAGTCACCATTTTTCTCCTGAATATTTTCAATGGTCATAACAAGCTCCAGCAACTTTCCTTCACAAACTGGCACTTTTCCTTGGCACTGAGCGTGGTGGTGGCATTGTTTCCTAAAGTTCCTGGTTCTCTTCATTCACTATTGTTTGTTTGTCTTTTTAAAGGGATGTAGTGACTCGCTGTATGTGTCTAAAACGTTGTCGGGACCTTGTCAAAAACTCTCGACAATGTTTACTTTTCGTCGCCAACTTTTACAGAGCGTTTATAGACTCCCGGTGACGAAAAAAATGGGGTTGGGGTGGGGTGGGGCTGGGGTTGGGAGGCTGGGTGGGGTGGGATGGTTGGGTAGGATGAGGGTGGGGTGGGTGGGTGGGGCTGGGTTGGGTTGGGTAGGATGAGGGGTGGGGTTGGGTAGGATGAGGGAGGTGGGGTGGGGTGGGTGGGTCGGTGGGGGAAATAAAAAGCTCTTTGTTATAAAGTTTTACTGCTCACGTATCGTCTGTCAATTCTGGGGGATTTTCAAGCGAAGGTCGTGAATGGCGGGTCGTCACATGTTGGCAGTAAAATTGTCGTTATTCAATTTTTTTTTCTCACTTATTCCACATTATTTCACTTCTACTTCCATATTATTTTACTTTCTTATCACTTTTATTAAGATGAATCAGATGCCCAATAATACTGAACTATAGTGTATGAGTGCATGTCTTTCAATAAGTTGTATGATTTTGATATACAAGTTTATGGTGAGAAAATTAACGCAAGATAAATATTTCCACAACTCAGACCCGTCTCCACACTGTTCAGATCTTTTAATTATTTAGTTCTAACTTTCTATTCATCTGAAATATAACTGAACTGTCTGAATCCAGTTCCCGGTTACCTACTGTCCTGCACATGACCTGACCTAAGTTAACCTAATCAAGTCCCTTACATGACCTAATCTAACCAAGCCTAGTTTCGTACACGATATAACATAAGCTAACCAAACCAAACGTAACCAAACCAATCATAACCAAACATAATCTAACCAAACCCACTTGATTAATACGGACTTGTAGCCGATATAGGGAAGGTCAAGGCCTTATTTCCCCTGGCAGACTTAATTCCTCTACACTGGCGCTGTAAAATATACCTGAGGCTGTGTTTATCGTCCCCGGGAGAGGAGGAGTAATATATTTAACCTCTACACTCAGACAACTTAATCAGCCCGTCCGTAGTTCTGGGATCCACCATGGCAGGATTAATGGAGGGTGAGGGAGGATGAGGGTAAGGAGTAAGGGAGAGTTAGGATGGGAGTGGATTATGGTAAAGTGTAAGGGAGGGTGAGGTAGAGGGTTTAGGGAGGAGATAAGAGAGAGGGAGACTCCTTCATCAGTAGGTAAGACAGAGAGGGTGAGTGACGACCTGGGGGTAATAGTGTCTGTCTCTCTCTCTCTCTCTCTCTCTCTCTCTCTCTCTCTCTCTGTATCACCTTTTTTTTCACTTCCACAACACGTGTCTCACTACGCCTCAATCAACATATATATATATAAAAAAAAATTTTTATTACCACCAACCATCTCACCCGTGGCACAACAACGCCCACCAACGTCACATTTTTTCCCTGTTCAAATACGTATCTCACTCATTTTTTCCCTGACATGTACTTTTTTACCCCATCTCCCCGCACGGTGTTCCTGGGGTGTTTTGTTTTTTTAACAGTATACCATGAACGTTGTATTTTAATCCTAAACCTAAACCTAAATGGGTTTTGTATTTCTTTTATCAATAAACCAGGAGCTGTGTGGGTTTTTTTTTAATCAGTAAACCACAAAGGTGTTTTTTACCATTTAACCAAGAGGGTGTTTTTCAGTCGGTAAACCACGAGCTGTTAACTGTTCTATCTCTCATAATTGTTAATGTTGTTGGACTCGTGTGTTAGTAAACCATGCTGCCCGTTTATGGACCTTACCTGTTGAGACGCAGTAATAACATAACAACACCAATAACATTTAAATACAATTAAAATATTTACCTTGAAGGAATAGTTGAAGATATGACCAAGATAACGATGATAATTGATAGTTCCACCAAATCATTGACCCACAACCGGACCTGGGAGGCGAAAAATAAACAAATTAGAGGAGAAAAGTCTATATTAATCTACACCACCAAGATGCCGGAAACCCAGCCTTTTAAAGTGAGTCAGATTGTATGGAAACACAGAAGAAGGCAGAGCATTCCACAGTCTGGCTGTGTGAGGAAAGAAGGAGGTACTATAACGGGTTATCATAGTGTTCTTCAAACTCGTCTTTTATCTCACTAATAAATGTTATAGAGATACACAATTAAACCACACACCAAAACAAAACAGCACAATTAAACCACACATTAAAACAGTTAAACCACACATTAAAACAGTTAAACCACACACCAAAACAAAACAGCACAATTAAACCACACATTAAAACAGTTAAACCACACACCAAAACAAAACAGCACAATTAAACCACACATTAAAACAGTTAAACCACACACCAAAACAAAACAGCACAATTAAACCACACATTAAAACAGTTAAACCACACACCAAAACAAAACAGCACAATTAAACCACACATTAAAACAGTTAAACCACACACCAAAACAAAACAGCACAATTAAACCACACATTAAAACAGTTAAACCACACACCAAAACAACAACAAAAAATTTCTACTCACTACAAAAACACAGACTGACAATTTAATCACAGTCAAAACAAGTTGTCTACCCAAAATAGACCAGTTCTCCCTACACACGTCTCTCAATACATTGTTACCGTAGCACTATGAACGACAG